GTGGCCAGGCAAAACATTTGATAATATAGCCTAGAACGTTTTACAAATAGATAAATAGATTTTTTTTTTTTTTTAATATGCCCAATGTCCACCTGAATATGAATGAATGTTTCAGTACTTTTTGGACAAGTTGCTATTCTTTAACAAGGTGGTGGACAACATAATTGACAACAAGTTTCGATAAAATCAGGCATGGGATTCTTTAACAAGGTGGTGGACAACATAATTGACAAGTTTCGATAAAATCAGGCACGGAATAGTTTGTGTGTGCAGGGGAAATCCCATTTGATTTTTCAGGCCATCTTGCCCAGCTCTAATGCAGTCATTTTTTATGAGTGTTCTGTGTCCAAAATCTAGCATTGGGCTCCAGGCTCCGAATGCACGTCATTCTTGGAGCTGGACCTCGAAGAATGTCTCAGCAGCGCGATGATGGACAAGCAACCGCATTCATGTCTCACCGGGGAGTGAGGGGATAAATTCCCATGCATCCGTCGACCTTTTCACATTCCAAGACGACGCAGAAAATTAAAGGCTATCCAGAAAAAAACAATAACATTCTGTCTGGTTAAACTTTCAGGGATTCTTGCCTTGTTCATGTACTGATTTTTGTACATATAGAAACTCGTTTCCCCTTCGGTACACTTTGTTCCACCAGTACAGTAACAACCCTCGGCTTGAGAAAAAAAAGAAAAAAAAGAAAAAAAAAAGCTGGAGCAGGTTAACGCCGCCTGCTCTGAAAGAGGCCCAGGATTCCAGATGACTGGAAGAGAGCGTCAAAGGCGGACGTGTCAATAGACGTACGCAGCGGCTATTTACAGATGTGGTCCCGCTACTGCAAAGCAGACTGGCCCAACTGGATTGACCACAGAGCCCAGACTATAATGTCAAATGACAGCAATGTCCTCGTAATTTCAGCGAACGCACAGGGCATTTCTAGCAAATCCAAGAATCACAGGCGGCCGACATTCCTGAGCGTTCAAGTATGCGGTTGCCGCTCTGTGCGTGCAGGTCGTCCCTGAATGACATGTCATGCACACATTGTTCTACTTGTTGAGGCAGGTAAACTGCTTCGCAACCTGTAAAAATACCAATAAGTACGTTCCTATTAGCCATTTATTATGATTTGCACTCAGTGATATAGAGATACCCTCACGATTTAAAAAAAAAAACATATCACAGCTCACACTACTGTCTGCTGTCAAGCTGTCCAGCTATCAGACATTAGCAATGTTAGCTTCAGTATTACCTTTAACGTGAGCCTTGTTGCCCTTTCATGCATGAATTATGATAACCTATATCGGGATTTTTAAAGATTCATTCATATAGTAGAAGGAAATTTTTGAATAGCTGTCCACTGTAGCATTAGCTAGTAACATAAGTTTCCACATTAGTTTCAACCTTGGATTTCAGTGGTAGTGTACCACCGAGCTTTCGCCGGCGTCAACCCCACAAGGAACCACATGTCTGACCACAAGTCTTCCATTAGGCCATCAATCACGCATTGGCCAACGCAAGCCACTCATCGTTAACATACTCAACGTTTTAACAATCCCTATGAGTGATTGTTAAGCCTGCTTTCCTCAAACGCTTTGAACACAGGATGGGCTGATACACAAAGACCAAAAAATGTTAGTTTACTATGCTGCTTTCTACAGCGTACACGGCTATTAGCCTTTGGCCAGCATTAGCTAATATAGCAATTTTAACATACTCAACATTTTTATTATCGTCGTACCTCTTAATGTTACCATACAACGTTCAATTCTGAAGTTAGCGGCCAATGATACCTCTAACATTAGCTTAAAATGTTAGCGTCAGCGTTACCTTTAACGTAAGCTTCAAATGTTAGCTTTTTAAAGTGAGTTTCCGTTATATCCAATCTTAGCTTCTAATGTTACACCTCACATAACGCTATCTACTCCTCTGCTAGAAATGGTTTCTCCAAGAGGACCGACCTTACTACAATAAATAAATAAATACATAAATAGATAGATGTTTAGTCAGCCACCTCGCCATATCATGACATAACGATTGCGATTATCGAAAACTGTGCACATGTCAGAAGTGGGGTCCGCAACACTTGCTTTGAGTCATGCCATTGTATCGACGAGACGACACAAACGTGGTCACACTTACTTCTGGACACTCGAACCAGTTCCGCAACGCTGAACACTCCCGATTTGATGAAGCTGTCTTCCAAATAGACTGTCAAAAGAAGCACAAAAAGACGTTCTTTTTAGAATTTTACCCAATAATATTGCTCCGAAATGATGTTCATTGGGTCAATGTGAAGATGATCGTGCGCGAGTCACTTTTTCTATCCAGAGTGAGCTGTAGATCTTACATGGGAAACATTCTTTCAACGGACCCCTCATAATCTAAACACCGATTAAACAACTGCCATGTACTCTTGATTTCTCTTGTGGTTCTCAACAATTTTACACCGAGTATCCGCTCCAAAAATATTAGCTCTCAAAGTACCACCATAATGACCAACATAAAAAGAAAAAAAATGATACCATGCTAATTGTTTTGCGCCCCCAATCTATGGCTTGTGGAGCCCAGTGTCAGAACCACTGTAGTTTTTTTGGGATGACATCACCTTGATTTAATTGAGTAATCCAAACGAGTCAGAGTATCTCACCAGACTCACAACCGTGGCAGCGGCTCACTTGCTTTGAAGGTGTCAGTTTGTCCCGGCTGGGCTGTCGGTCCCAGTAAATTAGCTTCAAATGTTAGCATCAACAGCAAAAGGAGTCAAAAATCAGTGCAGCTTGGCCCCTTGCCAGGAAGAAAGGCAGCAACTTAGTTGGCACCTACGGGTGGCCCCAGACGCAGCGGGTGACTCCGCGGCTTTCGACAGTCTCCCGAGCCAGAGTCGTTGGCTGGGTGGCATGTTTACCTTGGCACTCGTCTTGGCGGAACCTGCTCTTGAGGTAGCTAATGATACTTTCAAACTATCGTTCCACCACATTGGCCTGGAAACAAGAGTACCATTAGGGAATATTTGGGGTTTGGCTCCCTTGTGCCCTTTTGTATTTGCCCTTGAATTAGGACAATTTAAATGTTATCCATCTTTAGTAGTAGTTAGTCTTCATTCGGGGCGTGGGTGAGTTGTAACCTATTCCAGCTAACTTTAGTCAGTGTGCTACTGTGTCACTGCGAATGCACAACGTCACAAATGCGCATTCAGGTCATGCGGCTTGTTAGCTACCGTGCTCAATTTTGCTGCACGGATAATGTAAGATGTCACAAAGGCGCGTTCAAGTCATGTCGGTGGTTAAGTTAGCGTGATCTTTGCTAGTTTATGCTAACAACAGCCTTAGTTGAGGCTACTTGAAGAAATGAACAAGAAATTATGTTCGAGGGTTAACATAATAATCCAGTGGAACGCTAACAATTTAGCAGTGGCTGTCCTTGTTGATGCTCTCGTAGTGTGGCGGCGACACCCTGGACGTGTCGCCAACAAGCATCCATTTTCTCGAGGGTTTTTCTTGATGCGGCTCGCAAGTGAGCTGGAGCCTATCCCGGTTGACTTGGACTCCCCGCCAAACACCACACAGCAAGGCTGCATCCGCGATGCGAACCCCTGACGTCAGAGCGGCGCGTCAAGCGTGCTAACCACTCTTCCACGGTGCTGCCAATTTAATCAACTTGTTATTACCAATCAAATTTTATCTCTGCGCGGGCCATGTCATTTTAAAAACGGCGCCCTCAGCAATGATTTTAAGTTGCAATTACCTTGACACCAGATGTGTCTCTTTGACTGCAGTTGCTATCGCTGTGGCGCTCTTTAGTTTTATTCGTGAGGCGGTTTTTCACATGCTCGTCAGGCACATTTTTAAAGTCAGCAAATGCGAGAACAGGAGAGGGTGTGTGTCGTGTGTGCGCACTGAATTAATGGCGGAGGAACAATAGCCCGGTGGGGTTGAGGAAGGATGACTGGTACTCGACATACCTGGAAGAGGGTTCTTGCCTGGCTCATTGTTACTGGGACTTCCTGACTGCTGGGAGTCTGCAAGTACACAGAGACGAGGAGACGAAGGGGGTGATAAGTGGCGGGGAGAGCAACAACGGTTGAGGACAATAGCTCGATTTTTATACGAAGCAAAATAGAAAGGAGAAAAAAAAAAGGGAGGGGAAAAAAGTAGATATGACGAGCGCGCAATGGAATCTTTTTCCTCGTCAAGAAGAGAAAAGAACCAAGACAGGTTTGCACAACCGTGAATGCAGCGTCAAAGCAAAAGCCGCTCGGTGACAGTTGGGGGAGGCCACGATGCCCCAAAATTGGCCAAGGAAGTTTGCGGAGGGTGCAAGGTATGAGCCAGAGGAAGTGAGGGTAGGGGGCCGGGGGGACGTATGATGCAACATAGGTGGAATTCTTTCCACTGAGCTTTTGTCGTTCATCTCAAAGACTCGATGAGAGGGGACTTTTTCTTCATTTTCACCTATCACGTTTCACTTGGAGAAGGGAAGGCTAAAATATGAGAGAAAGCTCGAGTTTTTAGACCACTGACATACATCATGCAGACAAGCAATTCGAAATAGAGATAAGAGGAGATAGAGAGATAGCAATAGAAAGCGTTTGAGACAGAGAGAAAAACTGAGAGATTGAGGGCCTGAGCTCACAGAGCTAAAGAACGAGATAGATTTGATCCTGACAGAGAAACAGACATCAAATGACAGACAGAGAAAGAGAAATAGAGATACAGAGGGAATAATAGAGCGATAGAAAGGGAAATTGATCGAGAGAGAAAGTGATCGAGGAATTACTGTTCAAAATGGAAATATTCCCTTTTTGTTCACTTTTTTATTCGTTGATCGGAATCAATTGGGTGAACGGTTTATTCGAAAATCTCAAAATCCACAGAAAAGTGAAATTAACCCTTTTACACCAGGCAAACCAAACAATTCATTTTATACACCGAAAATGGAAATGAATTAAGCAACAGTATTTAATCAAGTCCCGTATTTCTTTTTACACATAAAAACAAGCAGGAGGGGTGGGGCTGCCGCGCGGCAAAAAAAAAAAGAAAAAAAAAAGGAAAAAATAGCAGATGGCGGCGGCAATTAGAGATCCCAGGCAGCATCTTCCAGCAGGAGACCCCACTGCGGCACCGGGAGACGCCACCTGGATAACTCAAGGTGGGATGCAAACATATGACGGCACATCTGCCAGGCCCGGAAACACCTCCTCTCTCGCCTTACACGGTGGACCTTTCACCTCGTCGTTCCAACAATTTCAGCTTTTGACCATCCATGCGTCCATTTTCCGCACCCCTCCCCTTTGCCGTTGTTGTCAATGAGCCCCGCGACTTTCGCCCTTGTCAGAAAAGTCGTCTCTTTTGGGAATTTAGAAACAGCCGCCCACTTGAGGAGGAAGGATTCCAAAAACAAGAGCAGGCAAGACTTCCGTTCCGATATTTACGAGAGCACCGCGCATCACTTTTCGGCAAATTCAAGATCATGGTTGCGCATGAATATTTTCAAACCAAGCAGTGATGAGAGTTAGCACGTGTACAACTAGTGAATGAAATACCGTACTTACAGTATATCCCATGGCTAGCTAGCACGGCTAACAGCAGCCCCAAAAAAATCATGTTTATTTTATTTTTTTCATGTAAGAAGGCAAGTAACATGGCTAATTAGCATTGGCTAACATCAGCTTGTTTCTGCTCTGACGCGACATCACAAAGTGCAGAAGAGCAGAAAGCATGTTTAATACATGTTGGTTTTATTTTGAAGAAAAAAAAAAATCAAGCGAGTGATTTTTTTTTTTTTGTTCAGGCAGATAATAAGGCTAAACAGCAACGGCTACCATCAGCTTCTTTCCGCTCTGACGCGACTTGACGAAGCGCAGAACGAGCAGTCCAAAGCTGAGGCCAATTTTGCAAAGCTCTCGACGGGGACGGACGGGGAGCTGACATCATTATCTTTTGTCTTTTTTTGTTGTTGTTTTTTTGTCTTGAAACAGAAACACAGGCGAGGGGGGAGCGTGTCGAAAACGCGTCCTGTGCACGAGTCTCGGCCAATCCGATAGTCTTCAAATAAACAGTCGGCTAACCTGTAAATAAACAGTTGCGGTCGAGAGGGTTGGGCTTTGCCCTGGGAGCTTGGCAGGGCTCGAACACGACACACACACACACACACACACACACACACACACACACACACACACACACACACACACAGACACAAGGCTGTTCCAGAAACAACATTTCTTGGCACCCTTCGCTCTTGCCACTTGTTTAAATAAGCAAACGTGAAGGAAGTGAAAATACAGTCTGAATGCCATTATCTCCTGTTGCTTGGCAAGAAAGGAGGAAACAAAAAAAAAGAGCTTGTGGCTATTCTGGATGGGAGTTCTTACACCTTCTTGTCCAGTGGGATACTTATCATAGCACAGCAATGATGAGGGCAATTAAGGCTAATGGCAACAGAAATCTGGCTCGGCAAGAAAGTTCCGATGAACTTGTGCCATTCCTCCACGCCCAAGCGTGTCACACGCCTGCATTTTAGGATCACTGATACAACACACGCACACGCGTGGCCCAGACACACACACACACACACACACACACACACACACACACACACACACACACACAAACCGACTAACGATCAATCCCCCCCCTCCCCCTAGCATTCCCATTCTGTTTCCATTCAAGTGCACTCACACACTACAGGATGTGGAGCAAATTAGCCACGGAGTTTAGAGCTGCGATTCCCAACCGCGGTGCCGGGAAATGATCCAATTTCATTACTCTATTTTATTTACCACCAATACGGTATCTTCATTCTCCTAAGAAAAAACAAAACACTATATATATAACACACACACACACACGTGTGTTATTAAAACACACACATGGTCAATGTTAACCACACACAAAAGGGGAAGCATATAATATATTGAATAATATGTACAGAGTGAAAATAAATGAATAAAATAAAACCATGGCCTTTTTTTTCGTGAATGTTTCTGATCTGTGAATGAGTGTCAATGTCATTTTCATCAGTGCTTCTATTTTGTTGCACTTCGGAATGATTTTGCATCGCTGATCGGCCATGGTGGCAGCTGTGGCAATTTTGCGCTTCATGTCAATAAATTTCAATTTACGTGGAACACAATTGAGGTTTGCCTGTTTCAAGATGAATTGTGCCGCACCGGTTTAAGCCATAAAATAAAACTCCAAACACATTTTAAATGTATTTCAACAGAAAAAAAGAGAACTGTTTTAGGTATTACTGAAAATACTTTTTGTTGCATTTTGGTTTGTTCAGGTGCCATTTTTATTTATTTATTTTTTTCTGATTGTAAAATAAGTGCTTTGGCCAAAGGGTGCATACCTTAATATTTCCTTCCTACAATCGACTTTTTAAACACAATGTAAATGTAATTGAACACAAAAAAAATTGCAATCATAAAATGCATGGAAAATACTTAGCAATCATCAAGTCAAAAAGGAAAAAATTGGTTTTGTCGTTTCAGCCCCTCTCACATGCTGTCATGACATTGAAACTTATCAACACACACTTTTCAAACACACAGTCAAAGTAATTTATCACAAAAAAATGTTTTAGAAAAAAGTCTGCAATACAGTGGGCACCGAGAGTAAAGTACCGGGATATACTTTTGACTTTTTGTGACAACTTATTTGGTGGTGTGCTGTGAAATACTTCCAATTTTTTATATCAACTATGTGCCTTGGCTCTCGAAAGGTTAGGAAACACTGGTTTAGGGAATGTTTTTTCCAACAGCGGCCTGCGTTTGTAAGCCGCAGACACGTACAGGGGGGGGGCAGACTTCCCAACAGAAGTCGGGAACCAGTGAGAGGGCCAGAAAGGATCTAGCTAATTACGCCGCTCCGATGTGTAATGTTTCGACAATACAGCTGCTCCCGGGTAAATATTTGATGTGGCCTCGGCGGACTTTGGCGGATACGAGGGGGCCTCACCTGGAAACGGTCACGCAAGTGAAAAAAAAAAAAAAAAAAAAAAGAAAAAGTGCTCCGGCTCATGCGTTACATATGTGTGTGTGCACACGTGTCCTCCCGTGCTCCTGCTCTCCATCACTCGCACTCGCCGCTTTGGCAACAAGATCACGTTGTTCAATCTTCGCCGCGCTATCCAAATCTCCAGATATCTGGCCAGATATCGCATGCGGTGATTTGCAATCGGGATAAAGTCACAGTCTTGAGGACGTTTTATAGCACCACACTTTGTTCCAATGAGGGAAACAGCAAAAAAAAAAAAAAAAAAAAAAAAAACCCAAACAAAAAGCAAGTCAATGATTTTTCAGAATCATTCGGCCCTCTTTTGCACATCATTGCCAGACTCACACCACAAACATGTCAAATAGGAGAAAAGCAACGGATTCATCGTTTTGTTTTGCCTCTGCCTAAATTTTGACAATTTGTGTTGCGTAGCCTGCTGTTATCCCCCCGCAAAAAAAAAAAAATCATCTTTTTTAACGGCCTTTGTTTGCGTCTCCATCTCGCCGCTTTGTTGTCTAAACAAAGCGGGGCCTTTATCGGGATGAGCCGCGAGCCCGAACGAGGTGAACAAAAGGAGCCGGGTCGAGGAACCTTCAAAGCCCGACGCATCGTGCCAGCCATTGTGTGCCAGGCCTGCCAACTGGTGATGCCACCCCCCCACCCTCAGTCAAGTGCGCCCACCCCCCACTCTGTCGCATCGACATCTGAGTGCCAAGCCCTCCCTTGCATCGACTCATGTCTGCTATTCACTGGCAACCCAACCGACCTCAAAAGGAAGCGAGACGGAGGTCAGAGATACCGGGAGGGGCATTCACCACTTCATATTTTCACTCTGATTTAAAAAAAAAAAAAAAAGACGCGACTCTTGGATGCATCGTGTCCATTTCAGGGACACACAACAGCTGCTGTCGTGTCGGCGGCAGAACAAGGCTTGAGAAAGAAGAAACAAAGCTCGAATTGTGATTAATTGTCCACTCTGACAGAGAGAGAGAGAGAGATGAATAAATTCATTTATTGTTTAAAAAAAAAAAAAAAAAAAAACAGTGGATACCTTGACTTATGAGCGGGGCTGATCGATTTTCAGAAATGATCTAATTGCCATTTTGTTTCCCCTCAATATTGCAATTGCGAATGGAGATGTGATTATTTTTGTCAAGGTGCGACTTCGCGGGGACGACTTGAGGAAATTCCAACAAGCATGCGAGAGGCCTGCGGGCGGCTCTGCGGCATCCCGCGGCCGCTCAGTCGCAGCGTCCGTGTGCCACGCAGACAAAGTGCAGAACGCAAATTGGATTCGGTGGTTCATTCCGCCCCTATTCCCCCCCCCCCCCCCCCCAGCGCTCTGCACCCCTCTCATTTTCTCACTGTGTGCTCTTTTGCTGTTGCTTGACTTGAAATTGACGACCCTTCGCTTGTCTTTGTAGCATTTGCTTTTCGATTGACTTTTTCCTCTGGGCCCAATTGGACGTCTTTCAGGTACTTCGATTTTGGATTTCCGCTGCTCTGATGGTTGTCATATTTGTCTTACGGTGGTGCCCTCGGGGGTAAGTGACCTGACGCGCGGGTTTTACAGAAATCACAAAAAAAAAAAAAGCCAAAATAAAATCTGGAAAAATACATAAATAAATAAAAATTGGGCGGGGATCTGCCCCAAAACAAACAACAAACTTTTCGTCCGATTTTTTTTTTTTGTTTCTGCTGTGAAGTTCAATACTAATGGACAAAGTATTGTAAAAGAGTCAAACGCTCTGCCTGTAATTGTTGTCCTTCTTGTTGTCAGCGTCGAAGGACCCCAATACAAGTTATTTTATTTTATATCATTTTAAAAAATTTAATTGGTTATCAATTTTTTTTTTTCATGCCACCAGCCTCAAAAATCCACATCGGTTGGCCCGTCAACGTTTCATCCAACCAGAGTCTTCAAGCTGTTGACCTGAATTAATCGCCACTGAGTGTCAAACTAAACAAGAGCCAGAGAATTGCTCGGTGATTTGAAAATGCCAAACTAAGTTGCCCGCTAACTTAATGCTAACACATCCTGGAAAATCTGGTTGACAAGCCATCAGTTAATTGGCAGTTTTCGAACCCATTGGCGATTTCAAGGCAAATGATGGACAGGTAAGAGAACGAAACCCGCAGGCATATATTCTCTGTCCTCTACGCAAAATTACTATATAGTGGTCGTGGTAGTAGAAGAAGTCTTTTCTATGACCGTCGATGACGCCGCCGCCCCCCGGTGGCCAAGGCAGAAGGCGCGGCGCACTGAAGTGGCCCGACTGTTGAATGCTCGATGATGATCTTACTTTGAGAAAGCGCAAACTTTGCCGACCGGCAAACGACAGTCGGACCTTGCTCACGATGAGAGAAGGCGAATTTCCCACCCTCCCCCTCAACACATCACTTTGCCCCCCAGGCCCCCCCCCCATTCCCATCGAGACGCGCAGGTTGGGAAGCGTCTCTGTGTTGGCGGCCTCCCATACCCATTGCCACTCAAGCAGCGGGGGTCCGCCGCATTTGTCTCCTAATTATCCAACTGTACGGGGGGGTTGCCCAGATGAAAGCGGCGACTCACAGAGCTCCTCTGTCAAAGGTCTGTCTGCCCGACCGGGGGGGCTTTTCTCTGCATCTCTCGGCCTTGTCCTCTTCCCTTGTGCTCATGCGCTGGCCGCCCAGCGCACCTCCTCTTCATGGCGGCGTCCCTAAAGGAATGCCTCCGCCGAGCAGAATCGCCCACGGCGAACGCTCGTGCACAAGACGCCCCCTCATCTAAGGGCGCCCCCCCCACACACCCTCACCCCGCCGCCCCCACCGCGACCAGCCGCCCCGCTGC